CTTTAGTAAGATTCCATTGAATAGCATTGAGGGTGGCTTTCTCGAGTGGGTCACCGACAAGCGAGTCATCCAATTGAGCCAAGGAATGACACGTGGCCAGGACTTGTGTCGTCGCCAGAGGAGCTTCAGAAGCTGAGCATAATCTCTCTTCGCCATCGCCACTTTCCCTGTGGGATATTATTATTATTCATTCAATATTATTATTATTATTGTTTTTTGTCGGCTAGAACTGAGACGAACTTGACGCCGGCGATCCCCTGGACGACAAAGTCATCACTGGTCAGTGTGCCAGTCTTGTCAAAGCAGCAGACATCAACCTTGCCAGCGAACGGGATCCTGAATGGCTCGGTGCAGTAGACGTCTGAGGTATCGCATAATGATTGAATTGAGAAACCACACAATCCAATTGATGGGTGGGCAAGGCAATACTAATACAAACACACACACACACATACACACACGCACACACACACGCACACACAAAATACTAGTACATAGAGATACACAAACATAATTTAGAGAGCGCTAGTAACGATGTGTTGACAGCCAGCGACAACTCGATCGGCAGCTCCGGTGGTACCACAGACGTCAAGATGAGCGTGCACTCAAGGAAGAGTTTGTACTTGTTTCGGGATGGGTTTCTGCTTCCTAGAGATGATGATGAAGATGATGACGATGAAGATGATGAAGAAGATGATGAAGAAGATGATGACGATGAAGAAAATGATGATGATGAAGAAGATGATGACGATGAAGAAGATGATGACGATGAAAAAGATGATGATGAAAAAGAAAATGATGATGATGAAGAAGATGATGACGATGAAGAAGATGATGACGATGAAAAAGATGATGATGAAAAAGAAAATGATGATGATGAAGAAGATGATGATAGAAATAATGATGATGACGACCAAAAGAACCCCAACCGACCAACAATCCAGACGTAAGAGGCAGCTGTAATCGCAAAGAACAGTAAGAACAGGATGAACATAAACGTTTCCATGTTGTTAGCCGTTACCTGATAATAAAAATAATAATAAACGAATAAAGGTTAAAGGTTACTCTCTCTCTTTTGCGTTAGCTTCAGAGGTTTCAACGACAAACACTCACACAGCGTATATGAATACGCGTGCAAACCACGCATCATACACATTGCCTTTAACCATTGAGCCATCACATAATAACAATAATAACAATAATAATAATAAGCATTACCTGCTTAACGCCAAACAAAATTGTTTTCAGAAGTTTTCCCTGAGAAGTGCTGAAGCCATGCCTCAGTACAAATGCTACACAACCATTATCTGTGGCTGTGTGTGCGTGTGTGTGTGTGTGTGTGCGCGTGTGTGTGTGCATGTGTGTACATTCTTGAGTTTTGTTTGCGTGTATATACGTGTATGTGTGAATTTGTTTACCTGTTCTGTCGTAATTATTTATAGGTGCTTGCGTATTGCAATTGTAAATATATCATTGAATAAAAGTATGAGCGACAGAGAGAAGGAGTAAAAGAGTAAATAGATCCATCGACCAATCAGATACCTTTGATGCCGGAACTGCTCTTATTGGGGGGCGTATGTTGGACGACCTTTGTGCCCCCGTAGAGAACGTGCAGCTTGCCGTGGCTTTCAAAATTGAAAACTTCACTCTGGTCCAAATTTTCTGCTGGCTCCTATGGACAAATTTTTGAGGTGAGTGTAGTTAAGTATTTTTTAAAAGTAGTTGTTCAGTGGCATCGTCTTCATCAACATCATCCTCAACATAATCATCATCATCAACATCATCATCATTAACTATTGGTTCCTGTGGACAAATTTCACAGCAAGCTTAGTTTGTATTGTATTTTTCAAAGTTTTTGGAGTATTTCTTAGGTATCAATACCAAACGTAGTTATCGTCGTCCTCATCATCATCATCATCATCGTCCTCGCCATCATCATCATCATCATCATCATCGCCATCATCATCATCATCGTCGTCGTCACTATCATCATCATCGCCGTCATCACCACCTTCATGACAGGCACGGACTCTCCAGTCAGCATGGACTCATCCACAATGCACGGACCTCTCAGTAGCAACATGTCACACGGGACCAATCGGTCTTCCTGGCTTCGAACTGTTTATGGGGTAAAAAGGGATAAACTATCTATCTATTTGTTTGCTCGTTCATCCATTTATTCATTCATCCATTCATTCATCTATCCATGCATTCGTTCATTCATCTATTCAGAAAACAAGCTCAACAACAAACCAATGGAGACAATGTCCCCAGGAACCAGCATGTCACTCATTACCGGCCGCCATTTTCTATTTCTAAAAACCTAAAAATAGAAAAAAAAATTTAAATAATTGAAAAATAATCAACCTAATTAAGTATTAGTATCGGGATTGGAGTCAGTCTGGATTTGAACGCAGTTCCCCTTACCTAACACACACTCTTAATACTAATTAGTTACATTTAGTCAATTCATGATAATTAAATCATGAATGAATGAATGAATGAATGAATGAATGTATGTATAAACAAATGAATAAATGAATGAACAGATAAGTAAAAGAACAAAACAGAATGAGGCAATTAGACAGACCTGAATCATGTATGGCTTGTTACCCATCTTTCTTATTTCCGTCATATTTTTCAACTGCTGCTGAACCAAAGTGGCCTCGAATACAATCAACATTACAAGCGTGAAGATGCTGTAATACCAATATCTGCAATTAATCAATAAATTAAATAAATAAATAAATAATAATGCTGGCTCTTTAATTGTTTTTAGAAAAAAAATTGAACAACGAGTTGGTGAAGTTGGTGATCCTAACAAACATTGTGTGAACTGAACATTGTAATTTAGAGATAAAAAAACATGTATGAATAAATTGTTGGTGTAAGCTGTTTTAGTCGTTACATTCTTCTTCTCCATTTGAATACAGTAGTTAAGTATTTTTAAGTATGTTATTTATTAGCACTCTCACTCGTCCAGACACCAGAGTCCGACGCAGAAAACTTGAAATACAAAAAAGGGGGCTGTGGCTCGCTCTTTGAAGAGGTCGATGAACTTCGGGATGTCCATTTGGAGACTGTTTAGAAAGTGGAAATTTAAAAGTGAAATTTAATTTTTAAATTTATTAAAAATTAAAAATGATAAAATTAATTTCAAATTTTAAAAATCAAATTAAGGTTCATGTTAAATTATGTTTTTGAGCAAGAAACCATAAACAACAAAATCACATTATGATGAAGAAATGGATAGATATATCTATGGATATATCTATAACTGTATGTATATGGAAATAGAATAAAGAGATAGAGAGAGAGAGAGAGAGAGAGAGAGAGAGAGAGAGAGAGAGAGAGAGAAAGAGAGAGAGAGAGAGAAAGGGAAAGGGAAAAAAGAGAGACAAACTTGTTATGCCCATAGTGTTTCTCTGCCCTCTTGACCTCTTCATCTTCCTGATAGCCCTTCCAATCCATATACCTCTGCATGGACCAGTCTGTGGGGTAGGTTACCTCGGCAAATCTCTTCTTCTCTTTGGAATCGTAGATAAAGACCGTCTTCTGAAATTCAAACCAGTACATCAGTTCGTTTGTTTCCTTAGCGTGGGAGGCATGTAAATTTTAAGAAATTAAATGATTAATTTAATTTTGATTATCTGATTAAAAAGTTATTTATTTAATACAAGTTTAATTAAATAATAAAATTAGCATTTTATAAAAATAACTCAATATATGAAATTAATTTATCTAATATACCTGTTGTTTTTGAAGGGTAACCAATTCAGAGTACCCATTATTTGGTGCTGGGACCACTTGGACATGAGTTGCCTCTGAGATATCTTCCACCTAAAATGATAAAATAAATAAAAATGTGAAATTTATTCAAGTAACAATTTTTTTAATATATATTTTTACAATATATATGATTAATGATTGAGTGATCAAACTTTATTTTTAATAATGAATTTATTTTATTTAGCATGTAGTACTTTTATTTTAAAATTCAAATAAAAAAAAAATCATGTTATTCTTAATAAAAGTGAAAACATTACACATGGACATCGACCATCATCAATCATTAAGCAATGCTTCATTTCAATTCATTCATCTGAATTAAAAAAATCATTGTAAACTTCACTTACTAGACAACAAGTTAAGAGACATCGGACCTCAACAAACCAGTAACAAAACAGACAGCATAGAGTCTGAAGCAGACCAATTATGGCGAACCCAATCATACCAGCTTCAAAATAATCAGACACCCCCAACACCAACATCCAAACGTACGCCCAACAAAAATAAAACACAATGAAAGGCAGGACATATCCATGTAAAATGATTGGCCTAATTTTGTACAGTGCAGTCTTCCGAATATCATCGCTCAGATAATCCACACTATTTTTTTCTTGGCTACTATTATTCATGATTTTTTAATTTTTTGTATTTAAAATGGCTAAATTTACAAATAATGAATAAAAAATGATGACTTTTAAACTGAATTTTGAAACAAATATGCATATGGTATGTTTAGAAATTTAAAACGACTCGCCAGCTTCACTTTTTCAGGTATATCTAATAACCACCAACACGTTATGTTTTTTTTTTATGCATATTTCATATTTTTGTTATAAGATACACAGATACACTTATGATGCACTAAAGATTCACTTAAAATATAATAGAAGATAACTCGGGCATATAAATATATATATATATATATATATATATATATAGAATACATAAAAACACATATACATATATATCTGTATATGTATACATATAATTTTGGTAACAGGCTGTTGTTAACGCAACATTTCAAAAATTCAACACTTTAGAGCAAAGTTGCTCTAAAGTTGATCAATTTTGAAAGTAGTGTTGAATTTTTGAAATGTTGCGTATACATATAAATATATGTATTAAACAAAGAATTATGCAATCGAGACTCCTAACTGTTTTATAAAAGGTGGTCAAATCACAGAATATTACTTTTTTTGTGAAAGCCCCCAAATTGTCGTAAACTCGCCTCAGGTTAGATTATCAAGAGGATATTTAGCTGTAGGTATGCGTGTGTTATCATCACAATTCACTCTAATTGTTGTTCCTAAGAGTTTTACCAGACATTATTTCGTTTAAAAAATTAATTTCTGGACGATTTAAAATTGTGTTTTTTTTACTGTTTTGGCAAACAGACGCTTAAAATTTATATTTGGTGTTAAATGAATAGTCTCTAGCTATTTGTGACTATTAAAAATTTGATCGTAGATTTTTAAATGAAGAAAAACTGTAATGAGATTAAATAGAAATAAATAATAAAAATAATAATAACCCAAAGATTATTAAATATTTGATTGTAGATTTTTAAATGAAGAAAAAACTAAAAACTGTAATGAAATTAAATAGAAATAAATAATAAAAATATTAATAACTCAACGATTTGGAATGACATTAAAAGATTTAATATAGCCATTAAACATTTTACAAAAAAACACAAAAAACTTGAAAAAAATGCTGAAACTAAACATCCTTACATCAAAATTATAACTATTTTCTTAACATTTGAAAGTAATAAACAATTCAAAAAATTTCTAGATCGAAAAAAGAATTTAAAAAATTCTATTAATGTCTTATGAATCATTGTAATGAATATGTGCATCTGTCTGTCTGTGTGCATGTATGTGTGTGTGCGTGTGTGTGTAAGCTACAACAATATATATTTATGTATGTACATGTGCATGACAAAAATATTTTTAAATGATTGGCAATTAGAAAAACAAATAGCATAATATTAAACTTGTACAATCGATTTCCTTTCATCAAAACTAAGGTAAAACTTGTCTCTCATGGCTCACAGATGTTCAAATGTCTTTGGCAAAAGCATGTAAATCATTTACCCAAATGCCAGCACCAACTGCATATAAGAGTCCCACGCAGCTGACTGTTACTGAGTTGGAAAGATTCGAGGTTACAATTCGTTTTCAATTTATTTTTAAATTGCCTTAGATTTTAAAAAATTTACCGTAAATTTTTCAAAAATTTTGAATATTTTTTTTATATAGAGTTCTTTCAGATTTTAAAACGAAAATGCTCTTCCCAATCCTGTTGATCGCGACTGCATGGGGTGGGTGCACCGGCGATGTTTCGTTGAGTTCAAGCCAAGTGTCTGAAATTCTGTTTGCTCACAACAATTTGAGAAAAAACGAAGGGGCTTCCGATATGAAGGAGCTGGTGAGTGAGAAATCATCAATTTCTCTTGAAACATTTCACTATCATTGTCAATAATTGAACTATAAAAACATCGCGTATAAGTTCTGAGTAAGATAAATTATATTTTAAAACATCTATAGGCCCTACTATGTTTTTCGATGTGATAATTTAAGAAAGTGTGAAAAACATTCAGAAATGGAATGAAAAATTGGCTCAGATGGCAAGTTCCTTGGTGAACAACTGCATATTCATGCACGACACTACAATTCCTGCCAACGTCATTCTCCCTTACTCCGATGTCGGTCAAAACCTTTACGCCGGCACGTCATTAAAAGTCAACTACACAAGTTTCATTATGGAATGGTTCAATGAAAAACCGAAATACAATTTTGCCACTAAAACATGCGCTGCTGGCTTCAAGTGCGGACATTACACTCAGGTTGAGATTTCCTTTTTACTAAAATTAAAATTATGAATAATAAAAACGGTCGATGGACACAGTTAAGTCAGCAGAAGTAGTAGCCTACCATTTTTTGAGTTTTTATTATTGCGCGCTGACGTCGTCCAAATGATGACCTGCCAAATGCAAATCTCATATTATATCCTTTGTTTAAGTTCTTGTACGCACAATTTCACATAAATCCATACATGATCAATGCGTGTCTTACCGTGTCAATTTTGCGAATTCTGTTGAATGATCAGTTTAATTTGAAACTGAGCCGATTTATCAAGAAAAATAGCTGAGGCTTTTCAACACTGCCTGCTTGAAAAAATAAAATAATTTTTTTTAAATAGATTTACAGAGAAATTAATATTACTTTCGAAATGTGGAATTTATATTTTGAAGGTCGTGTGGGCGAACACAGCAGAAGTTGGTTGTGCACATGCCGTTTGTCAGACGAGCAAATTCGTCTACCCGTCAGGTTTATTTGTGGCCTGCAATTATGGACCACCGTTAGAATAAGTTTTATTTTACTTTTTATTTTGTAAATGTTGACAGTGGCAGATGAAGGTTGAAGAATTTGAGAAGAAAATCCCCTCCCCGATCTTTTTCTGTGTTGCTCCGGGCCTATTCTACACATGTAAATCCGCCTCTGGACTTTTGAAACAGCTTTTGCCAAGTTTTATATTTGGCTTCGAAAATATTTTAGAAAATATCAACCTGGTAGAAAATACAAGTGGAACTTCGAGTAAATCACGCTATTAAGAACGGTTTTAAGTTCATTCATTGTAGTGATTCTTACTCAGATGCTTGTCTACTGAACCACTTTAAACTTTGTTATTAGACAGCAAATGGCTTTTTTTATGGTGAAAATGGAAGAAATATTTTGGTCAATAAGCATAATAAACATAGTTTTATGTTATTATTATTCAATATTCATTTAAAATACATTCCAATAAATATAACAAATTCAGTGGGAACTATCCCGGTGAAAGCCCGTATACAGTCGGACCAGCCTGCAAAGCATGCCCTGACGCATGCACTGGTGGGCTTTGCAGTTAGTAAAAGTTGTTTTAAAAGGATATATTTATTATTTTGTTATATTTACGAAAATAATTGACATCTACAAATTTTCGAATCATGTTTTTTCTGAATTTAGATTGCGTCTGGCCTATTTTATAACTTGCAAATTTGACCATAATAGCATTTTTTTTTCTGGAGTGATGTTTCTTTGCTTTGCCCGATCATACGTATTATAAATTGAGATTTTTTTTTTAATTAATTTCATTGAATATATATTTATATAGAAGTTGTATTTATTAATTTATTTAAATAATATCTTTCTAAAATTCTTCTTCTTAACAGATTAACAACTGGAATCGGAAAATTCGACCCCTCTTATGTTCGAATTTCTGAATTATTAATCAGTGACAAAATTTGACATTACAAATTTATTCATTCTCTAATACAAATTTTGTTTCGTAAATTCTGAATAAAAGATGTTATCTGCAGTTTTTTACTGGATTTTATTAAAATAAAGATGGCTCTCCTCACAATTAAAAAAAAAGTTTTTTCGTCGATACTTAAAACGAATTTTTGCAATTGGGCCTGACATGTGTATTTACCGAAATGAAATAATAAGAAAATTACTTTACCAATCAACCAAATCATTGATCAAACCAACTTACTAATTAATTAACCAATCAATCAATTATTAATAATTTTAAATCATCATTTTGGTGTGCAAGCTCAACCCTCCCCAGTTTTACGGAATGATATTACCATTAAGAACGTACCAATGAAAATTAAAAAAAAAAATTTGTCACGACTCAACATTTATTAAATGATAATAATCTAAACATTTAATGCTTATAAACAATTTAAAAATATCTTATTCCTAATCCTATTGAACATTTTCGGCTCGGCCAAAGAATCAATGCAATGATAACTACTCCTCTTTAATAGTTTTATTATATTCATTCATTTATTTTATATTTTAAATATTTTTTATTAATTAAGCTTTATGCTATATATATAGACAAGAAAAAAATTGAAATGCTTGGTTCACTCATTTGTCCATTCAAAATTGAATCACCGCAACAGTGCTTTTTATGTAATGTCCAATAGACTGATCGATTGTCTGCAGTCTATTCAAAATCGAGCGGCAAAAATCACTAGTGAAGGGTTGAAGTTTGACCACGTAAGCCACACCCTGTTTGATCTCCGTTGGCTAACAAACAGAAAAAAGAATATTGTTCAAGATCGCCATTTTGGTGTTTAAATGCCTAAACCGTTTAGGTCCCACTATCTGCCTAGAAATTTGTCAAATAAAACAACAACAGCTTGTCGTATTTCGACACGTTCAGACGACAAATTTTATCTGTCGTTGCCGACGACGCGATTGGTGGTGGCCACTCGTGGTTTGCAGTCGCAGGTCCAACAGTTTGCCGGACAATCTGCGTCAACCAGGATTGACTGTTCAACAATTTCGCAGGGAACTGAAAACGTTTTTCTTCCTGCATCAATTCAAGAAGCGCCTCTGAGTAATATTAAAGGGCGCTATATAAATTCTCCAATGTGTGTTTGTGTGTGTGTGTGTGTGTGTTTGTACGCGTCTATATACGAGTATGATAATAATATAAATGTTTGAACGGAATACAACGGTATGTAATTTGGAAAACAAAGAAAGATTAAGTCTCGATTAATTGATTAATTTATTCATAACAACTTGAGAAGGAATGAAGGAGCTTCCAATATGAAAGCTCTGGTCAGTGAGTTAGGGAGCTTCCAATATGAAAGCTCTGGTCAGTGAGTTAGAAACATAAATTCTTACCATTGTCTATAATTAAGCTCTAAAAAACGTTCCATATATTATGAATTCTAATTTTGAAAAACTCAGAACTGTTTTTCAAAATAATAATTTGAAAATATGTAAAAAAAACATTCAGAAATAGAATGAAAATTTGGCCCAGATGGCAGGTTCATTGGTGAACAAGTGCGTCTTTAAGCACAACGTTACAATTCCTTTCTCTTCCTACTCATCCGTTGGTCAAAATCTCTATTTCGAAACTACGTTCAACATCAACTACACAAATGTCGTCACGAATTAGTTCAGTGAAAAATCAAAGTTCACTTATTCCACAAAGACCTGTGCCACTGGTTTCACGTGTGGACATTACACTCAGGTTCAGTCTTCTTAAGTATTACCAGTAAGGTCGATATTATTTTCGTTGCATGTTTTGCAAGGTAACCATCTAACTTGAAGATAAGTAGGTGGTATAACTCACTGATGTTTTGCCAGAGCTATACATTAAAATACAAAAACAAATCAAAAAAAGAAAATTTTTAAAAAAAGTTAAATAGGCTAATAAATATTACGTTGAATACCAAAGGTCGTATGGGCAAGCACATCAGAAGTCGGTTGTTCTCACCGATCAATCAATCATTCGATCGATCAATCGAAGAAACAAATACGAGACTCTTTCACTTTCTTATGTAACGTCACGTTTGCTATACAGTGGCCAAAGCTATCATTGACATTTTAACACATCAATTCACTGTATAACATCCAAATTCCAAAAAAATCAAAATGATCAGTAATAAATGATGATAATCATTCGGTCAGTTACAATGGTTACAATACTCAAAAAAGGTCAAAATTTCTATTACCAAATTTTGCATTTTCATACTCAGTAGATTGAGTACTACATGAATCCTGTAAAAATACTACATACAAGCTTAATTCACTACATCAGTACCACATTTCAATTATTAATTTACCAAATTATAGAGTGTGTTCAGCATTTCCACTACCAAATTATACTGTATTCGCTATAGAAATTATGAAACTATGAAGATCATTGCCCAATTGCACAATTGTTACCACAAATATTTAAAAGTGAATTCCACTCTGTTTTCATGTAAGATTTGGCTGGTGAGAGAGGCAATTTCATTTTAATTTTGAAATTAATATTTTTATAAATTTATTAGTAAAATTAATTTAATCTCGTTTGTTAAGTTTTAGCTTATTTAGTGGTGAAATATCGGTAAATAAATAAATAAATATGGGAAAAGATAAACCTGGCCAGCGGACCAAGGGTAACATGCAGGTCTGTATTCTGTATGTATTTGTATTGTATTGTATGTCAGTATGTGTATATCTTGGCCCCAACTCAATCAAACAATCAGATTACTGACAGTAATGTGATGACAATTTCATTAATTTCAATTCAATCAAAATTGGACCTTTAAATTTGTCATAATATAATTTATAATATAATATGTCATTTGCTTCTTATTTATATTTGCACATTTACACACTCGCTGGTAATATGTTACATTACACCAAACTAATGATTAGTGTAGATTATATGTTACACTAATGATTAGATTAGTGACTAATCTGATCACTAACTAATACTAAACAACATTCAATTCAGCCCTCAAGCAGTACCAGGGCAGCAGAACTTTTAGAAGCGTCGAACCCAAGCTTGTTATTGACTGGCTCATTTATCGGTTTCGGTAAATTAACATCACTGGATGATTCATCTATGGTGGACCCACATCTGGCGGGGGTGTCTGTGGACAATGATTTGTCTTTGGCATTTAAGAAACTGGCCAAGAAAGATTACAATACTAAGGCTAAAGTGTGTTATGTTTTTATATTGGTCTGTGTTGTGTTGTTTTATTGTATTGTATTTATTGTATTGTATTTTATTGTATTGTATTTTATTGTATTGTATTGTGTTGTACTCTATTGTGTGGTATTGTGTTGTATTGTATTGTGTGGTATAGTATAGTATGGCATGGTATGGTGTTGTATTATATTGTTCTGTAATATATTTTATATTCTAGTTCCTTTATTTTATGTATTTAATATTTATTATTCTACCTAATTTTAGGGTCTACAAGAGTTAGAGCAACTGATTGACAGCAAAGATATAAAATTAGTTGTGGCCATTATATCATCTTGGGTCCCAGCGTATAATAAGTTAGCACTGGTTAGTTAGGGTTTTATTCTATTTTGAATGTTATAATTTACATGTAAGAATGTAAATGTTTAATTACTTCATTGTAATGTTTGTAAACAGTGTAACTATGCTTTTTAATTTTTTTCTATAGAATCTCAGTATTATTACTAAGAAGTAAATTGGAATTGAACTGCAGTTGAATGAAATAATTTTTTATATCTCAAAAATTTTAAAATCAATCAATCTTCGTTTTGCGTCCAGAGACCCGGTTTCCCGAGGTAGGACGTTGTTTTCTTTGCCATCAACTTTTTGCGCCAAATTAGACGATCAGTTGTATCCATTTCATTTAAATTTAGAGCTTTCATGTCTTGCTTGATTGTTTGCGACCAGGACTTCTTTGGACGGCCTTTGGGACGTGTGCAAAATTTAAAAAAAATAAATTAATCTTTTGCTTAAAATAGTTAAATTTCTCATTCAATTCATGTTATTTGCACATATTTTGTAATAAAATTTCCAAATTGACAGGACAACGATAGGAGAGTGAGAGAGTTAAGTCAGGTATGTCTAGGAAAACTGATAAGACGAGTGCAGAAGCAATTCGCTCCTCACCTCAAGCAAATATTGGGGGTATGGTTGATGGTGCAGTGCGACCCGCACCCCCCCTGTGCCTCTGTGGCTTTTAAAGTTTTTCAAGAATTATTTACTACCTCTGCTAAACAGTCTGATGTAGCTGATTTCTGTAGAGTTGAAGTTTTTAATGTGGGTTGTTTTTTTTTCAAATTTTTATTTGTTTATTTTTTGATTTTTTTAAGTTTTTAATATTGTCATAAAAAATGAATTTATATTTTTTTTTTCAAAAATTTTGTTATTCTATTAAGTTTTTGGAAGACATCATGTTCAAACTGACTATCCAAAGCATCATTGAGATGAGGTTAGATCCCTTTATTCTATGTTAATTTTTATTTCAACATCGATCAAAAAATTATTTCAGTTAATATAAAATTAACTTTTGTAATCTTTGGCTGTCTGTTTATTGTATTAAAACGTTTTGTCAGTATGTACGTGCACATACAACACAGACACTCTCACATCCACACTCACGCACGCCCGCCCAGATGCACACACATTTATGTATATACATTTTTGGTAACTCAAATTTGGTACAGGATATGTGAGGAGGAGGAAGTGGAGAGCAGGTTCATCAGATTGTTGTCATCCTCCATAGATGCCCTGACGAAGTTCATCGAGATTGTCAACGATAAGCATAGAGAAGAAATTATGGAAAGAATTAGAAATAATTTATTTTCTAATTCAAAGTTTTGGAAATTCCCAAAGAGCAAAATTCCTCAGGTTTTTCCCGCACTTTTTCAAAATTTTATTCTTAGATCATTCCTCAAAATTCATAATTTCTTTCAGGTTAGGAAAGCTTATTACGACCTTATTGCTACATTGCTAAAAAAGTATGGAACACCACTGCTGAACCCAAAAAGCAAAGAACAAATAACGATTTCAGTTCTTTGTTCTATAGATGAAAATGACATAACTGTTATACCTTCAGTGTGGAACGCCTTGATTGTTTTGCTTTGTGGCATAGATGTGAGTTTTATGGTTTTTAATTCTTTTTTCAGTTCACTCATTCATCTTTATCCATTTTTTGTGAGTTTTGTTTAAGTAGATGTTTAGTTTAATTAGTCAATTAGTTATATATCATTAAATAACTTTGATTTATTGAATTAAAAAACTGGTTTTAGGACGTGTGGTCTTCTATAAATATGAGCAAAGCATTCATACCAAAATTATGGAACACCATCGACAAGTGCGGCCATGGTTGTGCCTCTGTCACCCACCCTAACATCGTACTAATTTTAGAAAAGCTACCAGCCAACGTTAAATTCCAGAAAAATTTTTGCGCCAGTTTGCTTGAGAAATTAGTTTGCAGGTTGGCTGTCAATTTTTTTCGTTTTATTTTTAACAATTTTTTTTCAGTAAAATCATCATAAATTGAATAAATTAACATAAATTATTATATCAACATGAATTTTGCCAAGTCTCATGTTAATTATTATTATTTTATTGTTATTAGTCTTTGTGGTTGATTTTCAGAGGTATCACCAAACCACACATTTAACCATTTCGCCAAAAAACATCAATATATTAACATAAATTAACATAAAAAATTGTTCCAAGCCTAATAAATGAAAAGATGCTGATGAGTTGGAGAGAGTATGATGCTCTCGTTGCCTCTTTTGTTGAATGTTGCAAGTTTTATATCTTCAACATTGTTGAGAAGCGTGACAAAGCTGCTGCTGCTGATGATGATGATGGCGGCAATAATATGATATCTAGCATCAACAATAACGTAATTTAATTTAATTTTAACTACATATACCTTTTACACTTTCTTTTGTTTCAAATTTTTCTCGTTTAAATAATTTTTCAAGTTTCTCTTCGGTTAAAAAATTAATTTTAATGTTAATGATTTTTCAACGTCAGATTTTCAAAATATTGAAAGAACTTCTAACGAATGATGAGCACAGGAGTCTCAGCAGTTCAAATTTTTTCAAACATTTCACCGAATTCGTCATCTATCTCCACAAAATGTCAATCAAAGCGCCGAACGAAAAATTACATTTCTCAAAAAATTGCACTACAACTGACTCAAATGTTACAAGATCACAAGTAGATGATAATATATTGCGAGTAGATGATACTATATCGGGAGTAAATGATACTATACCGAGAGTAAATGATACTTCTAATGCTGAAATAACATCAGCTGCTGGCGGTGGTTGTAGCAAAATTGTTGAAAAATCAGAAAAAAAATGTAATAGTGGTGGCTTGTTGAGTTGGCGGTCAGTTTTTGAGATGTCAATGAGTCAATTTTGTAGAAATATTGAAGAATGTTTTAAAGAAATTGGTAGAGGTAGTTGTTTTAGTGGCGGTGGTGGAAGTAGCTGTGGCCGCGTTAGTAGCGACAGTGGCACTGAAAAACGGTTATCAAATTTTGTTAGTAAACTACTAAAACTGATGAAATTACTCTCGCCTCGTCAAAATTTTCAGTTGGAGAATAAAAATGAGAGAATTATTTTTAGGAGGAAATCAGTGAAGTTCCAAGACTCAACAATTCAGGGTAATAGTGACAGGAATGAGATTCAGGAACAGCAGCCACAGCAGCCACTGCAGCTACATACTGACGCGAATGTAGTAGTAGCTAGTAGCAATGAGGTTAATGCGTTATCTGCAGACAAAGTCATCATCTACAATGAGAATTTGCAATTCAGGGAGATCGTTCATAAAGTTGTTTTACTCGTTTTTGAGAATGTGTCAATTGATTCTGAGGGCCTTGTCAGGTCTTTTAAAGATCTGGTCGAATGTTTCGGTAGTAACGAATTGTTTGCGTATATACTGCAGTATAAATCTTCAATTTCTCATGAGAATAAACGTCCAATTGATGATAGAGAATTTATGAATGTTTCGGTAGAAAATTTCATCGAGACCACCATCGTACCGTGGTTGTTAGAAGTGAATCTCGATAAATTTGCGCCTCACTGTGGACTTTATTTTTCAATAATTAAACCACTGCCCATAGAGAAACAATTAAAATGTATCGAAAGGTTAGTTGAGGTGCTCAAAGATGAAGCCAGTTTTGAAAAACTTGTCGAAATTTTGTTGGCTATCTTCACAACTAGGGAGGAGTATTTGTTGAATGTGCAAAAATATTTACTTTCCGATGAAAAAATTCAGAGTTTTGTTCTCGAAAGCGTTGAAAAGTGTATGACTACGTTTGTTTGTAGTGGTCTGATGAAGAAGGCGATGTGGAGTTTGTTTGTTTCAATGTTCTCTCATCAAGTGCTCTCCCATTCAGGTTTTATTTTAATGTTGTAGGATTATTTCTGTATAATATTCCTAATTTATTTACTATTTTTTCACTATTTTATTATTCGATTTCTTATTAAATTGGTATAATTTCAACAAACTATTCAGGACTCTCTGATAAAATTCTATCTCACATCAAATCAAAGCGACCTGACATGACCTGCTTAGACAGATACGTGGAGTTTATATGCAAACTATTTGAAGGATTGCTAAAAATTGAATCGGCTCTTGCATATCTCACGAAATGTCATTCGTTTCAGTGGTTTTTTAAAGTTCTGCTGCTAGTTTCGCTTAACCGGAATGAAAGGTTTTCTGCCGAGATTGTCACAAAATGTGAAAGTTTATTGGTGGAAATGTTTACTGCATTGTGGACAGAGTACATTGATTGCTATGGTGATGACAGGGGCGCTATTGGAATTACCAAATTCCACTATCTGTCCGTCGTTAAGGAGTTTATTTTCTTCAACTTTTGCTATTCTAGTGAAAAATTATTATTTCAAAAATTTCAAAAATCAGTCAATTTGTTTGAGAGAGTAATTTCATTAATCTCTGATAAGATATCAACGAATGAGATGTTTGATTATTTGTACAAACCATTTGACGACGAGCCTTACAACATTGCTACAACCAAGGATGACGAGAATGGCTGCCTGGATGTCTTAAATGATTCTGATGAGAATTTGAATGATCTAGACGTTGAGTCACACGAAAAAGCTTACGATAAATTAAAAACTGGAACGAAAATGTCGCTGAGGAATAATTTATTCTGTTTCATGTGCCTTGCGAAAGTTATAGGAAGCCTGACAAACGAACGAAATAATTTGAAAGACGTTGAAATCAGGAACATCATCTCGAGAAGTAATAATTCAGACAACAACAGCAGCATCACCAATGATGACATCAACAACGACAACATCAACAACGACACCATCAACAACGAGGTTGATGACGACAATGATAATGCCGGCTTGTTGAAATACGATGAAGAACAGGATATACTCAAGGAATACAATACAAAATTATACGCCCTGACAAGCAACAACATCGATAAAATACACCCCCAGCCACAACTACATCAGCCACTACCACACCATCCACAACTCGATGACGGCATTGATAATGACGTCATAAACGACAGAGATAAGCTAACCAAAGAAAACATATTCAAGCATGTCAACAATTTATCTGAAGCTTTAACTTCTATAGCTCTCAACTTGAGAAGAAATAACAACAGAGAAACTGATTCTAACAAATGTACGGCTACTTCGACTACTACTACAAACTATTATGACGTAATGTTTCTGTGTTTTTTTGATCTTTTAAGGGCATTTGTTAAAAGTGAACTTAAAGGAAAATACTTAGAAGAATTCGTTAAGAGCGCCACTACTATGGTTACAACTACGGCTAGTAGTTGTAGCCAAAGTGGTAGTAATAATACTTTTGTTTACTTACAAAGTTGGATCACCCTACATAGTATTCAGCAAATGATAAAAAATGATCAGAATGATGAAGAGTGTGATGATAAAAAGTTTCAAATTTTTAATGACGTTTTGCATTCTGTAGCGCTCAATTTCTTAAAAATCTCTTCACGTGACCAATCATCATCGGCATCGCTTATGCCGCCATCACTATCATCATCATTATCACCACCACCATCATCATCATTATCACCATCAATATCATTATTATCACCACCACCATCATCATCTTCATGCGATCGTGATAATGATGTTTTATTTCTAAACATGATCTCGTGCTTCGTGAGTGTCGAAGATAGGATGATGATGTTGGAGGAAGTCGTCAGTTTCGTGCCCTCCGCTGCCGGTGAGCAAGATGGTGCTGTCAAAAGTTAGTGTCTGTCTGTCTGTTGGTGTTTGTAGGTTTTTTTTTATTACGGTCATCATTCTGATTGAGATTAGCGTACGTTTTGTTTTTGTTGTTTTCATCACTTTTTGCTGTTGATGTTGTTGCTTTTGGCTGATGTTGTTAGAGACTTGACTTCTCTCTCTCTCTCTTTTTCTTTTTTTCTCTCTTTCTCTCTCTCTCCCTCTCTCTCTCTCTCTCTCTCTCTCTCTCTCTCTCTCACAAAAACGCACTAACACACTTAAACAAGCAGGTTACCAAAAGCTTCTAGAAGCAGTGAATGCTCTGACGGATGATTATTCAACCAAACTTGAGTTCTTTGAGGATGAAAATTCGACAGATTCATCTGAAAAAAAGCCATTTAGCGTTGACAAAAATGTTGAAAAAATATCAAAAAATGTAGAAAAACCTCAAAATACTGTTGAAAAATCTTTGTCAAACGTTGAAAGAGTTCCACCAAACGATGAAAGGAATATTTCCCGCCAAAAAATGGCCGACGTGACGTTTGATAAATTAAGTAGAGTTGTGGATATCGTGAACCTCTTGGCTCTGAGACAGCCTAGCCTCTTTCTATTTCAGTCTGAGTTTGAGGAGGGGCTTGTTGGTTTCAACGCGCAGGTGTGTGTGTGTACGTGTGTGTGTGTTGTGTGCGCTCGCGTGTATTGTTGATATTATTATTGTTATTTGCGAATGGATGAATGAATTAATGAATGAAATAATTATTTTTTTTTTATTTTTTAATTAATTTTTTTTCTTCCTAGGTGGCCTTGCTTTATTCCAACTTTGTTGAATGTTTTTTATACAATCTAACAACATCAACAATAACATCATCATCATCATCAACAACAATAACAACAGTACCATCATTACAACCACCACCAACAACAACAACATCAACTGATGAAATGATATCCGTAATGTTATCCCACTGGGATAAAATATCCTGTGGGGCTGTATCCTGGCTCTTGTCAATCAACTCATCCATTCAATCAATCAGTCAGTCGCAACGACAGCCGCGACAACATCGGTTAATGTTATCAAATTTAATGCCACAAATCACGCCACTTCTATTTTCTGTATTGAAGTTGGTCATTGCATTGTCCGAGCTCTTCTCACAGCAAAGATATCTTGGTACGTTTTGTTGTGTTTTGTTCTTTTTAACGCCGCAGGGACTACCGCACGCAACCGTCCAAACCACACCACACAGACCCACACCACACGACGTACACACACACACACACACACACACACACACACACACACATGGTGTATCTTTCGGTTTCGGAGAAACTGTATTATTATTATTCTCATTATTGTTGTTTATTCTAAATTTTCCATATATGTACATTCGTGTATGAAGGGTAAAATTTTAAAAGTGAACTTTTTGTATTTGGTTATTAATATTTCCCCCTTCGCATTTCTTTTCCGCACTAGAGGTCATCTCTCAAATGTCAGACGAGTGGCGGCACGTTATCGAACCCGGGATCTTCGAGTTTGTGTGCTTCATCATGGATTTCTTCATCTTGAAGTCAAACTACGTTTACTGTCCTGAGGATGTTGTTAGTGGTGTTGGATCTAGTTTGTTTGTTTGTTTGTTTGTTTATCCATTCATTCGTTCGTTTGTTTCGGTTGTTCACACTTGTGATTTCGTTGTTCCATCACTCTCTCGTTCATTCATTTACTCATGCATTTGTTTATTTATTCGTCCATTCATTCATTCATTCATTCGTTCGTTCGTTCGTTCATTCATTCATTCATTCATTCATTCATTTCATTTATTACTACAGAGAGAGGAAATTGTATCACTGGTTTGTCGGGCCATGACGTATTGTCCGTCGTCATCACTTCATCATCTAACATCATCATCATCATCGTCATCATCATCATCATCACAATCATCATCATCAGCAACTAGTGATCAAACGTCTCCAGATGATGCGTTATCAAAGACGAAAAATAATAACAAAATGGCGACTGACATTTTTAAAATTCTTCTGCCTATGCTTACGTCATCATCATCATCAACAACAACATCATCATCAACAACAGCATCATCAACAGCAACATCATCAACAACATCTTCATCATCAACAACAACATCATCAGGTACGACAGCAACAACATCATCATCATCGTCGTTGTCTTCTTATAGATGTATTCAGGTTTGTGTTTATATGCTGATGAGGAAATGTCTGGATATGAAGGAATGGGATAAAAATGAGGATATCGTCGTCGTCGCCGGTGGGAGCAACGTGGAACTGATTCCAGAGGATAATAATGATCTCGGTTTGTTTGTTTGTTTGTTTGTATGTTTGTTTGTTTGTTTGTTTGTTTGTTTGTTTGTTTGTTTGTTTGTTTGTTTGTTTGTTTGTTTGTTTGTTTGTTTGTTTGTTTGTTTGTTTGTTTGTTTGTTTGTTTGTTTGTTTGTTTGTTTGTTTGTTGTTTGTTTGTTGTTTGTTTGTTTGTTGTTTGTTTGTTTGTATGTTGTATGTTTGTTGTTGTTTTTGGATTGATGTATTTTTTTCAGTGGTTTTGTGTGTTGATACAATATTGAATATTGAATGAATGGATGGATGGATGGATGGATGAATGAATGAATGAATGAATGAATGAATGAATGAACGAACAATCAAACGAACGAACGTTCAATTAAATAATGATATATAGAAATAAACAATTGAAACTTAAAAAAAAAGTCTAAACACAAACCTCTCTAGATTCACCATACCACATCGGCAGTGGCAGCGGTAGTAGCTGCAGTAGCTGCAACGTACCACAACAGACGAACGACGAGCTACTCAACTTACTACTGACAGTAATCGATGATACTAAAGTATCGATACTCCGAAACACAAACACGGATACCGCTCGGTTTACCGATTCCGTGCTGCAGAGTTCTTCCAAATCGAAGTCTAAAAAATTTTCAAATTCTTCGTTGTCCTCATCATTGGCCCCATCATCATCATCACCGTCATCATCGGCCCTGGCATCATCATCATCACCGTCATCATCGGTCCCAGCATCATCATCATCGTCGTCGTCTCTACTAATGTCCTACTTCCTGCTGGTGGATGTTTTACTCGAGGTTTTCCAGCTAACTTCGGCGACGACGAAGCTCTTCATAACTCGCTGGTTGAACGTGACCCTGAGAGATGCCCACTTCAACATTGTGTTCTGCAACGTGGCAGGGAAATGTCCAGGCCCTAGAGGCGACACCTATGATAAAAAATTCCAGAAAAATAATAACTCCGTATTTGAGGTTTCGACTCCACAATCATCACGAATGCCTCTTCTGATCTCTAACCTTGATAATATTTCCCTGAAGCTAGAAAGGAAATTATCTACACCTTGCCAGAAGTTTCTCTCGTCAATCCATTTAATCCTCCTAAAAAATGGAGTACTCACAGACAGTACGGAGGCCTTATCAGAGTTACAATTCTCGCCTATTAGCAGATTAAAAATTATGAAAGTTACCAATGATGATGATGATGAGGATGATGAAGAGGATGATGATGATGATGATGAGGATGAGATGATGGTGCTATCGTTTGAGATTTATTCCAGGATGTGCTATGTCCTTCCCACGTTCGTCAGGTCTTGGTTCGGTAGTCTGGATGGTAGGTTTTCCACTGCAGTTGATAGGTTCACTTCTAGGTTGATTCTTTGCTAGTTTTTACTTAATTTTTGTTATTCTTTCGTTGTTATTATTGTTTTTGTTGCTGTAATTCATGAAAATTGGGTGATCGATTGCTTGATTGATTGGTTGATTGATTAATTGGTTGGCTGGTTGATTGATTGATTGTTTGATTGATTGATTGATTGATTAATTGATTGATTGATTGATTGATTGATTGATTGATTGATTGATTGATTGATTGATTGATTGATTGATTGATTGATTGATTGATTGATTGATTGATTGATTGATTGATTGATTGATTGATTGATTGATTGATTGATTGATTGATTGATTGATTGATTGATAGATTGATTGATTGATCGATTGATCGATTGATCGATTGATCGATTGATCGATTGATTGATCGATTGTACTTTAATAAAACACAAAAATTACCGAAAAACAACAAAGCAACAAAAAAACATCAAAATAACAAAAAAAACTCATGTTTCAGATACGTTAGCTCGGGTTACATTGCCAAAGAATTATCTAATTTGCAATTAGAAACTTCGTCGCTAGAGGCGCTAGGGATGAATCTAAGAGTTAAGACGAGCAACCAGATGAAAAATGTTAACGCCATTTACTCTCTCGATGACGTCATCATTGAACTTAATATTACCTTTCCGGAAAACGCACCCCTTGGAAAGGTTTGCTGATTGGTTGGATTTTTTAGTCCGGTGATATGATTGGTTGGGTGGATTGATTGATTGGTCGGTTATTTGATTGGTCGGATGATTTGTTGATTATTTTTTATTAATAAAATTTTATTTACGACATTTATTCGTTCGCTGACTCATTTGATCACTCATTCATTCACTCATAAACTCATTCATTCATTCATTCATTCATTCATTCATTCATTCATTCACTCATTCATTCATTCATTCATTCACTCATTCATTCATTCATTCATTCATTCGTTCGTTCATTCACCGTAGTTGAAGATAGCCACGGAACACAACAGAGTGACATCTATCCAGCAAAACTGTCAGGCATGGACCCTGCAGCTCGTCAAACTCTTAAACTACAATGTCATTCATTCTTTCATATTATCCATCTTTATTATTCGTATTTTCAATTTTATTATTTATTTATTTACAATTTTTATTAAATAATTTTTTGTTAATTTACTCATGCTAACAAAAACACAAACGCACAAATCCTATCTCTCTCCACGCTGTATATCTATTTTTCCATCTCTCTCTCTCTCTCTCTCTTTCTCTTTCTTTTTTTCCTCTGTCTCTCTATGACACACACACATTGGCACACTCTCTCTTTCACACACACACATACACACACACACACACACAGAATGGAACTCTGAGAGAAGGCCTTACAAAGTGGCACAAGAACCTTGACCGGCATTTCGACGACTTCTCCTGTATGATTTGTTTTTCCCTCGTTCTAAACTACCAGGGCACGAAGTACTTGCCCCAGATCCAGTGCAAAACCTGCCGGAAAAAATACCACAGTAACTGTCTTAACACCTGGTTTAAAACCAGTCAGAAGTATGAGTGCCCTCTCTGTAGAAGTGCTTTTATGTGATTGGCTGGATTGGTTGGGCTGGTGGTTTGTTGATTGATTGGCTAATTGGTTGGTTGGTTTGTTTGTGGGTTTGTTTGTTGATTAATTGATTGATCGATTGATTGATTGGTCGGTTGATTGATTGATTGATTGATTTGTTGATTGATTGATTGATTGATTGATTGATTGATTGATTGATTGATTGATTGATTGATTGATTGATTGATTGATTGATTGATTGATTGATTGATTGATTGATTGATTGATTGATTGATTACTTTTTGCGCAAATTTAGAGATATTTAAAATTGTAATTAATATTTCGGACGCTAATTTTACTCATAAATTCTTAACTGGTCTCTAATTATTTACTAATAGAAATATAAAAAAAAATCAATTTATTCGCTAATTTTATTTTCAAATTAAAATCTAAAAATTTATTTCATCGCCTAGTTAAATTATCAAAGTCGGAATACAAACGAAATGTAATGTTACTAAACAAAACTTGGCATACCATTCAGACGATAGTTCAATTCTAGCTTAATCGTTACTGCAACTTAATTACTATTCCATTATTATAATTATTACTACCACAAAGCCTGTAAACGACCTTTAACCTTTACTAATTGTATTGCAAAGGTCATTAGTAACAGTCGCGAGTGTTGTAGTATAAGAAAATTACTAAATTATATTACTAAAGTAATTTATAGCAGTATTAAAGTTGGAAGAAAAAGCTGTCGTAAAAGTTGAAGCCATTCCAGAAAAAATATCTGCGGTATAAGAAGTAGTAGTAGTAATGGTGGTAGCAGAAGAAGAAGTAGCAGCACATTAGAAGCAGTAGTAGTAGCAGTAGTAAGAGTTATTGTAGCAGCAGCAGCAATAGTAGTTTCAATCATTCAAACACACACACAGTGAGCTAAGGCCGAGAGCTGAATAATATAAGGAGTAGCAGAGTACAACACACATACACACACAGAGAGATAGATAGAACAGAGAGAGAAAGAGAGAGTATTATAACCTTTTTTTTATATAGTTTTTATTTCTCACGGCTATTTAAACTAAATGAATGAGCCTCGTGAAAAAATAAAATAAAGCCACAATTATTATTAATACTGCTACAACCTATGGCTCACGGCGGGGTCTTTTACAATTAAAATTCCTTTCCTCTCTTCTTTTCTACATTTTTTATTTAAATTTATTTATTTCATTTATTTTTTTCATTTATTTATTTATTAATTTTTGTAATTATTCAATCACGTGCTTTGATATATGTAGCAGTAACATTCATTAATAGTAGTAGTAGTAGTAGTAGTAGTAGTAGTAGTAGTAGTAGTAGTAGTAGTAGTAGTAGTAGTAGTAGTAGTAGTAGTAATAGTAGAAGCGGTAGCAATAGCTGTAGTTTACTTATAAATTTATCATTAATTATTATTATTAGATATAAATATATATACACACACATTCACACACGCAACACAACACACACAAACACACGCACGCACACACACACGTACAATTACAATGATGATTAAGTTACCTACAATAAATAGATTGTTATTCATCGTTCAACGAAATGTGCAGGGGAATGATCGAACTCTATTAACCCCACCGAATGACATGTCATTTCTACGCTTTATAAAATATGTGTGTGCGTGTATACGTGTGTGTATGTGCACATATATATATATATAAATATGTGTGTATGTGTGCATGTGTATATATATATAAGTGTGTGTGGATATATATATATATATATATTTATGTATATATATATATATATATATATAAGTGTGTGTGGATTAATAATGCATATATTCATGATGAATAAATTTACTGATTTAGCTGAGAGAGAGAGAGAGAGAGAGAGAGAGAGAGAGAGAGAGAGAGAGAGAGAGAGAGAGAGAGTTAAAAAAAGGTTAGAAAAGCAAAAAAAAGAGAAAAGAGAGAGAAGTGGAAAAGAATTAGTAAAAGAAGGAAAGAATTTAATTATAAAATATGATGTTTGTAAATATGTTCTATATCTAATGGTGTGAATTTCTATGTGTGTGTGTGTGTGTGTGCGTGTGTGTGTGCGTGAGTATGTGTGTGTGTGTGTGTGCGTGCGTGTGTAACTTGTATATATTTTCGTATGTGCTATAACTTGCATAGGAAAATTTCAATTACGACATTTCATGGTTCAATTGTTTTTGATCAGACATTCCTAGAGAACAAGTCAACAGCGTCATACAGTTGAGTAACTACAAAAGACCCCAACTTAACTTCGTAAATCGAAATACTACGTTTTAGTTACAAATTTTTTTTGTTGAATTAATTTAAATTATTTTTATAAACTCAAAATTCTTTAACAGAATACCCAAAAAGTTATAATGAAATCGATGAGAAGCCTTCTAACCTTAGTCCCAGCGGCTCTGATGGCAATATTATCACTGCTGAGTGGCGCTGCACACGGATACGCCTCGGGACCGCCAGTCCGCAAATGCGAAAATATGCTCCCGTACCATCCGGTTAATGGGACTGAAACTATCCCGAACGCTGTGCCTATCATGCCGAAATACACCATGCTGAATTTCTGCTATAAACCAAATGTCTCATTGACAAGTTTGTCGTTTTTGTAGCTGTTTAGTAATAAATTTTTTCATGTGTTTTTTTTATGTGGTTAAAGTTTGCTGTCAAAAGCTTTGACTCATTTCTACCACACGATGCACGTATATGTCTGTATGCCTAACATTCACACAGTTTTTTTTAGATTGTAACAATTTTCTCCAAATCTTCGATAAATTTTATTTAAAAACCTTGTTTTAAAAAATTAAATCATCATCGTATGTAGTAACTTTGGATATGGTACTGGAAGGTAGCAAGGTTTTGACATTGCAGGGTATTTTCATCGAGATACGCAAGCGGGGTAATACCTCGTACAGTTACGGAGTATTCGACCCTCTGACCTCCACAAATCTCAGCCCTTTAAGCTGTTTCAATATGACCAATGTGAGTTTTTTTTTATGAAATTTGTTTTGGATAAATTTTCAAAGTTTTAAATTTTGATCATGATGAATGAATTAACGAACGAACGAACGAACGAACGAACGAACGAACGAACGAACGAACGAATAAATGAATGATAAAAAGAAATAATGAATGAATGAATGAATGAATGAATGAATGAATGAATGAATGAATGAATGAATGAATGAATGAATGAATGAATGAATGAATGAATGAATGAATGCCGATGATGAATACTGAAGATGTTGATAACAATGACACAAACAACAATACAAAACCTACTACTATTACAACTACTATTACTTTATTCATTATTAAACTAATTGGTTAATTAATTAATTAATTATACGAATTAAATTTATTTCCAATTTTATTCTAACCTGTAGAACGCCATTGGGCATAACAAGAGATTGAATGCTACGTCAGTCGGTCCATTTAGTTTGACCATCTCCACTGTGGAAGCAGATTTGGAGATTGTGTATGTATTTAGTTTTGTATGTATGTTTGTATGTGCGTGTGTGTATTTATGTATGTATGTTTGCATGTGTGTGTGTGAGTGTATATTAATAAGTGTGTGTGTGTCTGTGTGTGTGTACCTGCAGTATGTAATGAGTAATGTATATACACATACGTTGTTTGTGTGTTAGTTTAGGATGCGATTGTTGATTGTATATGGCTGTTGTCGTTGTTGTTGTTTGGTTGTTTTGTTATGTACGTTTTGTTGTTGGAAACAGTTTTTTTGTTTGTTTTTTTTTAAACAAACACCTATACATTTTTGAGCGGTGAGACAGTGTTATGGTTAAGACACCTGGTTGTGGTTTTCCAGTAACTGAGTTCGAACGCAAGCAAGCGCATGTGTAACAATTGTAATAATAATAATAATAATAATAATACCATTGCACAGAAACGAAAAAAATAAAAACGTACCCAAATACAATCACACACTACTCTCATACAATCGCACCTTACTTACCCCACAATCGCACCTTACCCACCTCCATACAATCGCACCCTACCCCCCTCCAAACACAGAGCCACCATCGTAGAGGAGTATGATGACTTCTGGGTCAATGTGACTACCCCTCTGAAAGTCTGCGCCGCGGCTTTCCAGAAGAATGCCAACATTTTCCTCATTTTCTCCATTTCCATGCTTTTTGTTCGATTTTTAGTGTATATGTAGCGCACCTGTCTTTCTAGAGATCCACACGCGCGCGCACACACACACACACACACACACAACATTCACACACACACAACATTCACATACACATATATGTTCATATATATAGATATATTTAATTTTATATTATCAATTTTTTGGAATGAAACTTTGAATAAATTTTAGATTAAATTGGGATATTTTAATTTCTTTCTGTCTTCCTGCTGAATCTATAAACACGCAATTTAGAACCGAGGAATCTGAGGAATATCTAAGAGGAAATGATGATAACAATAATAATAATAATAAATCAAATCAAAAAATCATTTATTTAAATCCGGAACACAAAATGAAAATAAAAGAAAGGATTTGAGATTGTGAGGATTTACGGAGATCCCATAAGAAAATCAAAACTTGTACAGACCACCGTGATACGATATGCAATTTAAAAACAAAATCACGTTTGAATACATACACTGATAAAAAAATAAATAAAAACAACAATAATAATAAAAACAACAACAATATTAATAATAATAATAAAACACATTTTACAAACATATTCTGTACAGTACATTGCGTGTTGGTAATATAATTGTTAGCTTTTTTTCAATCAATCATTTTAGCTTCAGCGATGTTCAACAGCGCTCCTCAATGAATTTTGCAAATAGATGGGTCTTAAGATCCGCTCTGAACTTTGCAAGTGATGGAGAAGTCGTCAGAGAAGGAGGTAGAGAGTTCCAGAGAAAAGGGTCAGAAAAAGCAAATGCAGATTTAGCAAAAGAGGGTTTAACACGAGTTAAGAAGTGAGAACAAGAGGACGATCGTAAACCGGGGCCTTTAGGTTCAATTAATATATCTGATAAGTACTTAGGTTGTGTATGTGTGTGTTGTATGTATATATGGCGTATGTTGTGTATGTGTGTGTTGTATTGATGTATGTGCGTAAATGTGCGCGCGTGTATTCTCTTATTATCATCTTCGAATTGTCATCGGAACGATCATCATGAGACCACCATCTGTAACGTGCTGACGCCCACCACAACCCACCTCTTATCATTTTGTAGACAAATTTTTTATTAGCGTAGTAGTAAATGAATATTAGAATCATAGAAGCAAAAAATTATAAAATGAAAATTATGGCAAAATAGTATTTTAAAATAATAAAGAGAGTAAAATGTAAAAAAAAACTTACCGTCGTCCATTGACAAAGGCAAAATGATGACTGCCTTCCGGTTCCTACGTTGTCCTCCAAAACTGGTGCCAGTCCTCCTCGAGATTGTTGTTGAAACACAGCCCGTGTTGATGGAAAAAGATAGAGAAAGAGTAGATTCTCATCAGAAAGCTTAGCGGTGCCTGCATCTCAAATTACTAAATAAAAATAATCCTATTTACCTATTCAATTACCTTAACTAATCTATATAAAATTGTTAATGGTACGATAGTCGAAAGTCCCCCTTCATTCTCCCTCCTTGCACAGAGGTTCACCGACAGCCAGGGCACCGGATAGTAAACCATTGCCGTGCGGATAGTAAACCATTGCCGGTTCACCACTGGCCACCAAGGCTTACCTCTGACAACAGACTTCGAAATTCAGAGTCTATCGTACCCTCAATTTACCTATTCATTACAATTAAGTAAGCTTACCTTAGGCTCCAACATAATAATAATATAAAACTTAATAATTAACCTACCTATTGATACACTTACAGATGTATTTATTTATGTATTGGTGTGTGTGTGTGTGTGTGTGTGTGTGTGTGTGTAATACGCTGATGCGTGTAATGTGGGTGTAAAGAAAAATAGAAGCGATAAACTTATGCGCCTACCTAAATCATCTACGAGGAACTCCTCTGGAAGCTTCAACATGAACGAATGAACCTGAATGAACCTAAATGAATGGAAAAATTTTATTTATTTAATTAATTAAAATGAAAATAGAGAAACGCAAAGAAGCCGACCGGTCGGCAAAGGAATGGAGCTAACTTCCGGAGGAGAGTTGGAGGGTGATTTTTTATCGTTCGAGTCAAAAGCTACGATCGTATATTCACTAATCACGGAATATTGCTTTTATTTAAAATGTTAAAATTTTAATTTGATAATTAATTACTTTTATTTGGTATAAATTTAAAAAAATAAAATTGACATTACCGAAAATAATTAAAAGTTGAAAGAATTGAGATTCTTTGCATATCCCTTTTTCAATCCGTAAGAAAGTGTTTTATATTGGTAGATAGGCCTCCACTTGGTACTGATGTGATATAAATACTAATGATGATGATGATCATGTCAACAGTGACGTAATTTGATGTGAATGATGATGATAATGATGATGATGATGATGGTGTTGTTGATGATGATAATGAAGTAGTTTGTGATGATGATGATTGTAGCACAGGGGTTGATAATGACAGAAATGATGACGATGATTAATAATAATAATAATAATAATAACTATTAAATTTTACGTTTAAAAAAATATTCCAGCTTTTTCATTATAAAACATATATATATATGTGTGTGTGTATGAATGTGTGTGTATGATGCATGTGTGTTTGTTTGTGTGTTTGTTTGTGTGTGTGTGTGTGTGTGTGTGTGTGTAAGTGTATGTGTGTTTATTTGTGTACGTGCGTGTGTATGATCGTCATTATACAGGTGTCATTTAGCTGTGTTCAGTCGTTCGAGCCAGACACAATTAGAGAGTGAGAGAGAAAGAGAGAGAGAGAGAAAGAGAGAGAGAGAGAGAGAGAAAGAAAGAGACAGAGAAAAAAAGAGAGAAAGAAAGAAAAAGTAAGTGTAAGTGAAAAGAGAGAGAGAGAGAGAAAGAAAGAAAGAAAGAGAGAGAGAGAGAGAGAGAGAGAGAGAGATAAAGATATATATAAGTACAGAAAAAGAGAGAAAGAAAAAAAAAGAAGCAAATGGAACAAGAGAAAGAGATAACTCTAAAAAGAGAGAGAGAAGCAGAAGCAGAGAAAATAAGGTAAAGAACAGCAAATGCTAAAGAAGAGAAAGACAGAATGAAAGAGAGAGAAAGAGAGAAAGAGAAAGAAAGAGAGAGAGACAGACAGACTGAGACAAATAAGGAAAGATAGTTGTTTGAACCGCCTTTTACTCTGATTAATTTTGATGATATTCACAGGTATATACAGGTATTTTACTTAGCTATGCACTTGTTTGTACATGTATGTATTATATAACTGTGCAAACATAGGTGTTTAGTATGTCTATGTTTGTGTAAATAAAAGTATATATGGAGCGTTTTTTTGTGTAATTATTCAAAAAATAACTAAATTTTATTTAGGTTCCATCGTAGAATTATTCAAATTTATCCAATGCGTTCAGTTGAGGAAAAATTGACATTATTGACCATCATTATCGTTAAAGGACAGCCAACAACAACAAAAATAATAATACTAAAATTTTCATAAAAAAATTATCATAAAAAAAGTATTATCAACATTAAGCGACCAGGTTCGAATTCAAGACTACGCCCGGCTCTCGTGTGTAACGTTTGTGTTGGCTGAGTGTCTGTTTGCCTGTGTTGCACTGACGAGTTTGTGAGGCATGTTGGTAGAGGAATTTTCGTACATGGTTCATACATTATGTATATTAAATATATATAATGTATGAATATATATATATATATACATATACACATGCATTATATATATATATATATGCATATAATATACATATATAATGTATATAGCATATATATTGTATAAAACACATATATTGTATGAAAATTTGTATGACAAAATGCTTTTAAGCCTCTACCTTTAGCGAAGGAAAGACGGGATTTTTCAAATTTTACCGCATGCTAAATTTACGCTATCAGGCAAACATAAGCCTAGAAATACTGATCCATTGATTGGCTTTTAACTAATAGCTGTTTTGTAGTGCTGTGTTGTAGTGTTCTACTATCAGCTCTAGGAAGTTAACTGCATTCTAGTTAGTTACAAAATTACCCCTGTACGCCTGAACGCGTTCATAAACTTTATTTTGCCTGATATATATTATAATATTAAGTAGATTTATTACGTGCTGGAGTTGCCGAGTTTTAGCTGAGCTAGCAAAGAAGAATTGTTGGCTAATTTAATTTTTCTTTTAGAAAAAGAGGTATTAATAATACCGAAATTAAATTTATCTTTTCATAAAATTGAAATATTTTTTCTAATTCGACTTAATTGCATAACTTAAAACACTCGACTCAATTGAATGAGAAGAAAAATGGCGAATCAATTGAGCGTTTCCTCCATCATCGTCTTCATCTTTATGGCGATGACCAACTTCAACAATGTCGTCCAGTGTCTTGTTGACCCAATCTTCTCAGCCAACTTAACTTCTACTTACTGCAACCAATCCGTCGATATCCCGACCACTATCAATCCATCCTTTCATCCTAATGTAACGAATTCTACAACTTTATGCCTGGCAAATAGGGCCAACACAAGTTAGTGTACAAAATATTTCGTTCTAAAAATCTCATTAAACTATGTTGGCTACTCTAACTGATAAGTTAGAAGCTAAATATAGATTTATTTATAAAATTTTCACAAATTATTACGATTTTTCAGATGTAAAATTTTTATAACTTTATTTATTCAGTGGCACAGCTTTGCCATTGAACAGAGTCACGATGCAATAGCATCTGACACGGCGATTTTGCCATTTAAACCAAGAACTCGTCTGAATATTACGTAACGTTCCCCAGATGAGGGAATTTTAAATTTTGTTACGAATTATCAATTCATGCAGTTGCCGTCCGTTCCTTCAACAATGCAGACCTATCACCGACTAATTTCACGGGAATGATCATTGAAGTGAAAAAAGATGTCAACGACGCTGCCATCTATGGAGATTTTTACGACCACCCAGACTATTTTCTCAATGTAAAATGCAACGGCGTGAACAAGGTGAGTGATTAATACATGTACGTATGTTGACAGTTGATACGTTTAGCAGTATGGTCGCACTCACTGGCCGGGTTTGAATGCAAACAGATTCCCGCATCACCACCAACTTGTGTGATGCGTTGGAACACGCGTATTTTTAATGCGCTGCGTGTTTGCTGATGGTAACTCAGAGAGATATTGAAGAGGAAATTGTAGAATAAATAATGAAAAAGTTGAAAAATATCCACTCACTTCACGTAGACCATTTACGTGATGTCATCTGTAAAGACAAGTTCATTTCAATTGACCTTCATCCCCAACGAACTTGCTCTCAATACTGTCGGTCTCAATATCTAGTAAGTCAATGTGTTTCTAGGAATTCGTTTCAAAATTTTCAAACCAAGATGCTTTTGACAATTTGAAATTTCATTTCATTACTCGGTTGATTTGAGTGCTAAAAAACTTACTCTGTAATGATCAGCCAACAAGTTAGCTCAGATGATAAAAGTGCATTATCTAGCGTTGTTGTTAATACGCGAAGACCGGGTTCGAATGCGGCGGTCTGTGCCATACTGAGCCTCTGTCTACTGTACATACAAAAGTGTGTGTGTGTGTGTGTGTGTGTGTGTGTGTGTGTGTGTGAGGGCTTGTTTCAGTATTTGTTGAAAAAAAAGTTTTACAGGTTACGACGAAAAAAACAACACCATGGCAAATTTCCCCATCCCGTTGAGACTCTGCAACCCGCCCACAACAACTGCACCTACTACAACTGCAGCAACAACAACCACCACGAAGACGACAACTACAACTACTACAAGCTCTTCGAGCGTGTCGAACTCATCCGGACTTAATGTCTTCAATTTAAAAATCTTCCTTTCGGGTTTCTGCTTGCTCTTCGTGAAATGTCGTCTCACATTTTAACGAAATCATTTCGAGAATACTGGAAGGAGTATTTGAAAGTTGGAATTTTATTGAATGATTCTGGAATAAATCTTCTGTTTTTGATGTTTAGACGAATGTTATTTGCAATGAAAAACAAGTATAAACAATGAAATATAAATACTTCTCTGCATTCGCACACAAAATATTTTTTGAACTTATTAGGTAGTTTTAATTTTTTATAATTAGAATTTACACACATATTACTCACGCACTCACACAAAAACACACACACACACCCTCAAAAACACACACACACGTGCACACACACATACACGTGCACACGATTTCGGTAGTAACTAACTATCAAGGCACATTGTTCAAAAGGTGATTACATTTTTAATTCTGTCCTAAATCAAAGTTTCCAAATTTATGCATTTAAATTTTACTTATGTATTTATCTTTTAAACTTTTCTTATATTTGTTTATCATGTATATTTTGTTTCTGTTCATTCAAATACTATTAGAAAATGGCATATATAACTACATTTCTCTAATTGTCCGCTTGTGTTTTTTAGATTTACAATAACTTATAGGTCTGGCAAAGCCGAAATCCCACACACACCACACCACAAGCACACACACACACACACATACACAAACACACACACAAACACACACACATACACACACACACAACACAACACACACACACACAAGTACAGTTTATTTTCAAAAATCCCAAGTATAAAAAACCAGCAGCACATTTGACGACAGATTAAAAGGCCACACACTGTCTTAACTGATCATGCATCTGTAAGATTCAGATATAAAAAAAATTAATAATAATAAATGCTTTCAAACTATAATACAATGAAGACCTTGGAAAAAGGCATAATTAGAACCGGATTTAAAAACTTGACGGCTTTACGGTAACGAAAAATTGAAGCTTTGTGAGTAGAAGAACACTCCGTTTTCTACGTGCCCTCGTATCTTTTTAGCATTTCAGTATCGCGTTTGAGAGGAATTAATTTTTAAATTTCAAATAACCACCTAAGTATTTGATAAGAAATGAGAATTTCAGTTTAATCCTTGCAGAAAAAAAACAAGAAAATACATCTCCTAGTGGTAATTTTTCTCACAATTTTTCTAATTTATTTAATGTTTAAACTCTTCTACCTACTTTTCCATCACTCGCGAAGTTGTTTCCGAATTCAAATTATTGCGTTATATGAATGAATTGATTGAGTGAGTGAATGATTGAATAGTTGATCGATTGATTATATAATTGATTGATTATTTAAATGATTAGTTAGTTGATTGATTGAATTACATTTTAATCTCAAACACACATTTCAATAAAAAAAAAATCAAAGAACTCGTGCTGAGTAGCGCTAGCGAATGTAAAGTGAAAGTTGACAATAAAATATTTTATCTAGTTGATTAATTCATTAATTTAAAAAAATATTTATATTTAAATTAGTTATTTGTAGTTTAAATAATTGAAAACAATTCAATTTTAAAAAGATGAAATCACAATAGAACTGAACCGACAAAAAAATTAACGTCTAAAAATAACCGTTGACAAAACAATAATTTAAAAAATTATATGAATAATTCGTCTTTTGGAAGTTAAAAACATGGAAAAAACCTGATAAAAACTGCCATACATCTGATAATATTTGCATAGTAGTAATAGATTCTGCAGCGATATGATCAGAGGAGCATGGTCTTACGTAGCAATAGCAAAGAAACCGAGTTTGTATGCAAAGACCACCTAGGCTATAACATGCATTAATTTAGATGTATCTGTTCTGCCTATCTGTGTGTGTGTATGTGTGGTGTGTGTGTGTGGTGTGTGTGTGTGTGTGTATATGTGTGTGTGTGTATATGTATGTGTGTGTGTGTGTGTGCGTCCGTTGCGTCTTTATTTGATGACATTGAGTATTTTATGTAAAAAAGTGATTGTAGTTAACCGTTATGTTTGTTGTATGTGAAGAGGTTTTACCAATGTGACATAATTTTTTCTTGATTACTTGAAAAAAAGTTAATTTTTTACTTTATCAGCTCAAAATGTTATCAAATTAAAGGTGATAGTTGATAAATTAAATATAAAAATAAATTAAAAAACAATTGTTTCACCAATAAAATGTTTTTTACGCAATTTCATGCAGTATAATGCAAAAAAACATAACAATGAAAAAACTGAGGTAAATATTGCAAACATCTGTTGGCTAGCGGTTACCCGGTTCAAAAGCACGCCTTGCTAGACATTAAAACATCATGAAACTTTGTAAATGTTTATTTATATTGCATCGCTAATACTTTCTGAGGTAATATTAAAAGCGAAACAGCCCGTTGTTACTGGTGACATTGCAACTTGAGTTCTAAAGCGCTTGTCTAATGAATTTTGAATCTTGAAACAAATTTTCATTGGTACCCTCAAAAATAAAATAAAATAAAATAATTTACTAATTTTAAAAATGTTTGGCTTTTTCTTACCCTTTCATTTTTTTTCCTAAAACACATCAAATTTTACATGTTTTACATACAAATTTTTGTGTAAAAGTCTAATTCCCTGAACATCAGTCATATTTAATTTTGTTTTTAACTTTAACAAAGAGCCGATAAAAAAACTTACAGCCAATCACGATTGAGAATTTTATGACAACCAATAAGAAGAGGGTGGTTGAAATGAGAACCAATAGGGTAAAAACGATGATATCTATCATGAAATATTGAATAAAGTTCAAATCGTAAGCTGACGTCCTCAAATGAGCGTCGCCATATTCAATCACGTGATTAATCAATCTAGAAACCCTGACGTTGGGTTTTTCGGTTTTGTATTTTAAAATTTTCGAATAAAATTGTATGGATTTGAGGTAGGGCGAGGCATCTGCGGTCATGTTCCTGATGTTATCTATTAAGTTTTCAACGCGGAAATTACTGATAACCATTGAAATGGCGTAACCTCTCTCTTCTGCTGTAGCTGAATTACCGAATTGATCAAATATTAATGGAAAGATTATCATCGGCTTCTCAAAATAAACTGACTCGATTAAACTACTCAATCCTCCGTGACTTATAAACAATTTGACGTTGACATGTGCCAGCAAATTTTTCTGCGGCACCCAAGACATTAAATAAATATTCTCAGAATGTGGACAAACATCATCCAGCTTGCCGGGATACTTCCAAACAAAACACATCGTATTTTTGAAACGTTTGAATGCTCTGCAGAAAGCATCAACTGTTGTTTTTGGCAAGGATTTTAAAACACTTCCAAATGAGACTAGCACACAGCCCATATAATATTTAGGAGACGAGACAAACTCCAACAAGTTTTTTGGCAAATCCTCCAGAAGCTGATCATCGTCGACAATGATGTCTCCAACACTCAACGTGTTTGGCATCAGAACATTTGGTTGGCTAACTGAAAGATCTTCAAGGAAAAACCACAATGAAGCTTTTGTGAAAAGCTCAACGGTGTTCAAATTCTTATATTTGGCAGTTTCGTAATTGAGCGGGTCCCTGTATACTTCATAATCGGCAAAGGACTTGAGTGTCATTAAATCTTGGAAGAAAGAGAGCAACCTATGGATAAATGGCATTTTCTGTGTCCAGGGACAGCTCATGTGAGGCGTGAATGATGGCAAACGTGGGACTCTGTATATCCAGGTTGACCAGGGTAGGGCTAGAGTTGCGTATGGAACATTCATGGAGAGTGGAAGAACGTAGTTGCATTGAACTGAAGCCAAGTCAACAATTGCGAAATGGTAACCTGTTTCGTTCAGTTTTTTCCTCAATTCAGCGTTCGACATCAAATCCGCACACTCTCTCAAGAAGTTCTTCGATATTCCATCCATCATGCTATTAGCAGCTTCGAAACTTTTTAAAATTGATTCAGCAAAGGCCAGATTGTAGATGTAATCATTCATTTCGTCACTCTCGGAAAACGTAATGGCTTCAGTTAACTTGTAATTGATGACATGATACGAGCCTCTGCAACATTCGGAAGAACTGTCCGAATTATCGGATGAAAAATATTTCTGAAGACTCTGTGCAATGAGGATGTCTACCTGATGACCCTGTCTGGCCAGGCCCCGACCCAGCTTGTGGAAAAATGACGTGTGCGTTCGAACCGCCCCTGGATACATTAAGATTTTTGCTGTTTCGCTTTGGTTCAGACTGACGATGATGAAGATCAAAACAGTTGATGTTGTTGCAAATGTAGCCTGGAATTTCATTTTTTTTTTTTTTTTATAAAATTTTTTGTTTTTGCTGACTGTTGTCTAAAATGAGTTAGAGTTTTGTACTGTCAGTAGCATGGTTGTCATAAAGACAGAAATGTTATAATAAAAATATGCTAAGTTCTAATCTGTAGAAACAACAATTTGTTAAATTTTCTAAAAAATATTCAGAAAAGAATTTCATACATTTTCTGGAATTAATTAATCCGTTTTTAAAGCAACTAAAAACTTTTATTCTCTAAATATAAATTTATTTACGATCAAAATTAATTTCAAAATTAATTAAAAAACAAACAGAGACTAGAAGCTATACACAAATTTACAAATTTGGAATTTCAAAAGCTTCAATTAACATTCTTATAACCAAACCAAGGTAGTAGAAACGTTTGTCTGACAATACAATTTTAGTCAGACCAACTCTATTAATATGTAATTCGAAACGAGATTCAATTACTTTCATATAAAGAACAACAAGTATGTGTGTGTGCGTGTGTGTGTGTCTGTGTGGGTAAATACGTGTGTGTGTGTTTGTGTGTGTGTGTGTCTGTTTTCCTTTGTATGCGCATGTGGAGTATGTGTGCATATACGTGTATGAGTGTATGAGTGCGTGTCTGTGTGTGTGTGTGTGTGTGTGTGTGTGTGTGTGTGTGTGTGTGTGTGTGTGTGTGTGTGCGTGTGTCAAGACAAGTCTATGTGGATGTGTGTGTGTTTTTACGTGCGAGTTTCAGCGTGTGTGCGCGTGAAACCAATCAACATTTGCCTTGACGCAACAAAACAAGGGAGTCTATTTATAAAACTTTAAATTTGAGAGAGCGCGTAGATAAAACTTTAAATTTGAGAGAGCGCGTAGATTGACGATGAGAATGGCATTTTGTCTTTTCTTCATAATTTTATCATAACAACATCGAATGATCAACGTGTGATAAGTATAGATAGACAATATAGTTGAGTACCTATACAAACATGAAAGTGAGAGTTATATAATTACCTTTAATATTAATAACAATGACAATACTATTATGTATGTGTATGTATTTTATGAATCTATTTATGTATATTGTATATGTACTTTTGTGTCTGTGTGTGTGTGTTTGTATGTGTGAATGTGTTTGTATGTGTGTGAGTTTGTATGTGTGTGTGTGTGTGCGCGCGCGCGCGCAGATTGGCGAAATATATATTAGAATCAGAATACAAGTCAACGACCTAAAACTCTAAGCCATTATCTTTATTTTGGAACTTAAATAATCGCTGATCCTAATACAAAACTTCAACTATAAAAAGTGCGCTACACACACACACGCACATACAGACAGACACACACACACACACACACACACACACACATACACATACACAGATACACACGCACACACGGACAGACAATAAACACAAACACACAAGGAAACAACAATTGTATACTTGTTTTATTTTTATTATTTTTGTATACTTTTGTAATTAAATCCATGAAATCCAAGAAGGAAGTTCACTCGACGCTTAATATCAGCTCATCAAAATAGTTAGCTTATCGTAAAATGTTCTAATAGATAAACTAGACACTCACACACACACATAAACACTCACACATGCACACACACACACACGGAAAAACAGAGGGAATAAAGAGAGAAGCAGAAAGAGAGGGAAATAGAAGATGAAGAGAGAGAGAAAGAGAGAAAGAGAGAGAGTGAGTGAAAAAAAAGAGTGAGAAAAAAGAGAATGAAAGAGAGAGAGAGAGAGAAAGAGAGAGAGAGAGAAAGAGAGAGAGAGGGAGAGAGAGAGAAAGAGAGGAGGAATGCAGAAAACAAAAGCTCAAAAGTTCAAAAGACGCCCGCACAGGTGCATGAATGAGAAAGTTCATTGCTAACGATAATATTAAATAAGATTGTCATTCTTGCTAGCTTTGTCCACCAGACAGACAGTGGAAAACAAACGAACGAATGCACAGCAGCACAACAATATTAACTTCCGCTGGGTGCCTCACAAGATAAAATTTATTTACGGGATGAACTCCATGAGAAGTTTTTAACATGATCCAAAAAATAGTTAACGCAGACTTTGGACACAGTCAGAACGCGTGTGAAGGAATTAACCAAATGTGTTGGAACGATAGCAACAATTTTGGCATTTTTAACGGGTTTAACGCTGTCAACAACGCGTTTGTATGTGCGAGGCTAAATCTTATAATTTCATAATTATCATAATAATTATTATTATTATTAAATTATCGTCATCATTATCATCACCTTCATCGTCGTCGTCGTCTTCATTATGAACATTTAAATGCATTGCGTTGAAGATACTATATGTACGAATGTTGCAATATATATGTGTGTGTGTATGTATGTATGTTTGTGTGTATGTATGTATGTTTGTTTGTGTGTATGTATGTTTGACTGACACAGACTCACATAGTACATGTATGTTTATGAGGAAACTTTTTACAATTATCTTATCTACACGGATTTCATAAGCCCATTTAAATTTTTAAAATATGTTAATGAGCTACTTGAGAGGATTTTAACGAGTCATATATTTAAATTTCAGGTTTTTATAAAACTACTTGCTGTAAGCTACTTGCTGGCAGAAAAAGTATTTTATTTTGACTTATAAATATGGCCCAGAAATATTTTTGTCAATTAGGAAAATACTGTTTATTTAATTTTTCATTTTAGAACATATGTTTCAATAATTAATTTTATTGAAGTTAAAAAAAATTTTAAATTAATTTTCAAATTGGGACAATCATTTATTAATGTTGAAAAGCTAATACAATTGCGATCAGTCAGTCAATCAATCAATCAGTGAGTGAGTCAGTAAGTCTGTCAGCCAGCCAGCCAGCCAGCCAGCAGCCAGCCAGCCAGCCAGCCAGCCAGCCAGCCAGCCAGCCAGCCAGCCAGCCAGCCAGCCAGCCAGTCAGTCAGTCAGTCAGTCAGTCAGTCAGTCAGTCAGTCAGTCAGTCAGTCAGTCAATCAATTAGTTTATAAAGCGATATTTCAACAGCGCTCCTCAATGAATTCTGCTAAGAGATGGGTCTTGAGATCCGCTCTGAACTTCGTAAGTGATGGAGAAGTAGTCAGAAAAGGAGGTAGAGAGTTTTAGAGAAAAGGACCAGAAAAAGCAAATGCAGATCTGAAGAGTGTTTAACACGAGTTAAAAAGAAGTGAGAACAAGAAGACGAACGTAAACCGGAGCTATAGTTCTGCTTCCTAGCGAAGAATTAAAAATTTCTTGATTTCAATTGCGTTATTATTATCTTCTTCTTCTTATTATTTTATTCTTATTTTATTTTTCATGAATATATGTGATAAAAATTTTGTAAAAAAATTAACATGAAATTTTAGTATAGGAATTAAACTATAGCATAGCGTTAAATTTGAAGAATTTATCAGGCCAATACAATCACACACCTTAATGTTAATATGTGACGACGATTGAAATTTGCTTTCAAAAATATCGTGAATTTGTGATTTGACACCCGTCTTTGATTCAAATATACTTTTTCTTTATTTTTCCTTTTGTTATAATGGGAAGAATTACAAATTTTACCAGAGCGAACATTATTAAAATAACGAATCTCGTGATGCCTGATCTTTCATTGTTTAAATTCAACTTAGTGCAGACCTCAGCAAAATCCCTCCTGACTTGCATCTCTCGGATTCCTCCATTGTTTGACTGGACGATGTCTGAACCAGAATTTCAAAAAATTATAATTAGACTTGATTGATTGATTATCTGATTGATTATTTAGCTGATTGATAGATTATTTAGTTAACGAATAAATAAACAAATTAATTAATTGAATGCCTATTTTAAAGATCGAATTAGTTAATCAAACTTTTTTGAGATAATTCTAACTAGATTTATAGAAACGAACACCACTACTTTGAAACTTCGGGCCAGATTTTTGTAAATGTTCAAAAATTTCTATTCAATTTCTAATTATTTTATTTCCCATCAAATGTGTGATTCAGTCAAAAAACCAGCAAGCACACGCTGCTTAACATCAATAGAAAAATTCCGGAAAGGGTGTGAAGGGGTACCTACGTCCCACTAAGTATGGGGGGGTGGGTGATTTCCATCGGACCAAAACATGAAAAAAGAAAATTTCCATGTTAATTGTTCGTGGTTTAAACCAGAAAGAGAGAAGGAAACTGAAGAAAGGAAGAAGAGAAAGAGAGAGAGAGAGAGAGAGAGAGAGAGAGAGAGAGAGAGATCAAAAA